CTTTAAACAATTCAATACCTTACAACACATTTAGCATTTCCAACACCTTTAGCACTTTACAACAAATTCACACCATAAAACAAATTTAGCACTTTACAACAAATTCACCACCTTTCAACACATATAGCCACTTTACACGTATTTAGCACTTTACAACACTTTAGTCCCTTACAACACATTCTTCTTACATACTCCTCTTCTTTCCCTTATTCCTTCTTACTTCTTCTTCCTCATCTTCCTGTTCTTCCCCTTCATTCCTCTTCTTCCTTCTTCCTTCTTTTCCTCTTCTTCCCCTTCTTCATAATTTCCTGTACTTCCCCTTCTTCCTCTTCTTCCCCTTTCTTCTCTTTTCCTCTTCTTCCCTTCTTCCTCTTCTTCCTGATCTTCCTCTTCTTTCCCTTTTTTCCTCTTCTTCCCCTTCTTCCTCTCTTCCCCTTCTTCCTCTACTTCTCCTTCTTCCCCTTTTTCCTCTTCTTGCTCTTCTTCCCTCTTCATCCCCTTTTTTCTCTTCTTCACCTTTTCCTCTTCTCCTCTTCTTCCTCTTCTACCCCTATTCTCTTCTTTCCCCTTCTTCCTCTTCTTCTCCTTCTTCCCCTTCTTCTTCTTCCTCTCCTCTTCCTTCTTCGTCTTTCCTCTTTCTTCCCTTTTCTTTCTTCTTCCTTCTTTTCCTTCTTCATCCTAACCCTTCCAACATCTATGCAGCCACTCACAATGGCTTCAGCCCATTGTACCATTTCTAGTTCTTTTCCACTTCCGCCAGATTTTGGCTACTTTTAATCTTCAACGCTTTCACCAAATTCAACAAATTATACATCGTTAACGACTGGCTTCACCGTCCTATTATTGCTATTACTTTTCACACTGTCCACCTTTAGGCACTTTTTCAGATATTAACAAAAGTTTCAGCACTTTTTCCCATAGACTTACTTTTGGACCAGTAAACAGATTACTCCCAATACAACACATTACCACACTTAGACAATTCATCACCACAGATACTAATACATTTCAACATCTTACAACACTTACAGCACCTTACCAACACATTTAGCACTTTTACAACAAATCAACCACCGTACTACAATTTTAGCACTTTACAAACATATGTCAACACCTTTCAACACATTTAGCACTTTACAACAAATTCAACACCTTACAAACACATTCAGCACCTTACAACAAATTCAACTCCTTACATGGGCTGTGGCAAAAAAAATCGATTTAATCGATTTATCGATTTTGTTTTGCTTAAAAGGATTTTTATTTTGCAAACTCGAGTTTTTTTTTCACCAAATTTTTTTTTGAGTTTTTTGCGTTTCGTCCTCCTTGTGGGTTACCGTTAGATAGGCGTTATGAGCCAGCCCCCTCCGCCGACCGTAAACCCAGTCAAACAAGAATGGCAGCGTGTAGTAGAGCATGGGGTTCCCAAAGTCTTAGCCCGCGACCCCCATATATAATGCCCTGAAACCTCCTCAGCCGATGTGGAGAGCATTTCTTGCGGGCATCGCCCTAACTGTTCTCCTACAGCGGTTAATGTGGGCCGGCTTTCCGGAGGTTCAGCGGTAAAGAGGTCCGCACATTAAAAGCGGGCGGCCCGCTTTCTGACTGTTTACTTTATGCGGTTCATCCCCGCGGTTCTCTTTCCAAAGTTTACTGTCAGTAAAGGCTTAGACGGCCACCCGCTTTTTATTGTGCGGACCCTCTTTACCTTTGATCCGAAAAGCCGGCCTCTTTAACGCGCTTGTTTCTACCGCTGTCCTTTCTCCTCCTTTGCCTCTCTCCCTCTCTTCGCACATTCTGCTGACCCCTGATACAAGTGACTTTTCTCTTCCCTCCTCTGGCCCTCTTCCCTCTCTGCCCTCTCTCTCCTTCTCCTCCCCGCTGCCCTCTCTCCCTCCGCTGCCCTCTCGCCCTCCGCCCCCGCTCCCGTGCCCTCTCTCCTCCGCTGCCCTCTCTCCCTCCCCGCTGCCTCTCTCTCCCCCACGCTGCCCTCTATCCCTCCTTTGCCCATCTCTCCCTCCCGCTTGCCTCTCTCCCTCCTCTGCACTCTCTCCCTCCCCTCCGCTGCCCTCTCTCCTCTATGCCCCGCTCTCCCTCCGCCTCTGCCCTCTCTCCTCCGACCGCTGCCCTCTCTCCCTCCGCTGCCCTCTCTCCCTCCCCTTCCCGCATGGCTCTCTTCCCTCCGTTGCCTCTCTCCCTCCTTGCCCTCTCTCCCTCCTCTGCCCTCTCTCCCTCTCTTCGCACCTTCAGCCTGACCCCTTGATACAACGTGACTTTTCTCCCCCTCCGGGGTTTTCGGTTGTGGTATATTACCACGTTTTCATTTTAAAGCAGGTATTATTTTTTTGTAGCCTCCTAACACCTTTAGTTTTAGCAAACAACAGTTGGACACGCTTTGTCGCTGAGCTTGTATGTGAGCTGTGTTACGTGATGATTTGATTGACGATTGCAATGACTGGGACAAAATACTAACGTTATTAAAATATTTATAGTCTCCAAAACACAATTTTAACATGTGAGGCCTTTTGAATCAAATCAAATGCCTACAATAAATATTTAAGGCTTTATATTTGCTCAAAAAAAAAAAAATTTTTTTTATTTTGTTTGTGTAGGAAATCATCATGCGACCCCCCCAGGGTTCCCGCGACCCCAGGGGGGGTTTTAACAGGGGGGGCTTGTTAAAAGTATTAGATGCGAGGTACAGTACGTTGTCCACCAGTCGCAAAGTATTTCGTCGGATGTAGCGCTGCCTCACCGTAAATTACAACTCGTGAAAAGATCGCGGTGAGCCTGGGGGGAGATGATCGTTTTACTCAGCCACCACGGACCTCGTGGTTGTGGACAGGTCATGCTTTCTTGCAAAAAAATGCTTAGAATGAAGCATGCACAATATTTCAGAGGTCTAATGTTTTGTTGTAAAGATAAAAGTTTACATTTGTTTATCCTTTGATATGTAGTTTAGTTGTAGCTTTATGTCTGCCACAGGCATGTTTAATTTTTTTTTATATTCTACATTAGCTGAGAGGCTAAGAGAAGAGTTTATTTTATTTTTTATTTGTAATGTTTATGTTTACAATATATGTTAGTTATTGATTTCTTAATCAGAAAATTTAAGGCTACTGTGAAGTTGATGTTGCACTTTTGCTTTAATTAAACCTGGGTTAAGCTTGAAATTGTGAATAACAGAGCCTATTTACTTGCATTTTAACTCTTTGAGGACAATCACAGCATAAATTTGCACTGTTGACAATATATCTGATGTCTCAGTCATTTTTAAGTGCATTGGGGAAAAAAAATCGAAATCGAAATCGAAACTTGAATTTTTCTTTTAAAAAATCGGAGATTTTTTTTTTAGGGCAAATCGCCCAGCCCTAACCTTACAACACATTTAGATTTACAACAACATTCAACACCTTACAACAACATTTAGCACTTTACAACACATTTAGCACTTTACAAAACATTAACACTATACAACACAATCAGCCTTTACAACACATTTAGCACTTTACAACACATTCAGCAACTTTATACAACACATTCAGCACTTTACAACACATTTAGACACTTTACAACAAATTCAACACCTTTACAACACAAATTCAACACCATACAACCTTCTTTACTTCCTCTTCTTCCCCTTCTTCCTCTTCTTCCTCTTTCTTCTCTTCTTCCCTTCTTCCCATCTTCCTTCTTCTCTTTTCCTTTCTTCCTCTTCTTTCCCTTTCTTTCTCTTCTCTCTTTTTCTCTCCTCCTTTTTCTTCTTTCTCTTCTTATTCTTTTTCTCTTCTTTCTCTTCTTTCCTCTTCTTCCTCTTCTTCCTCTTCTTCCCTTTCTTCCTCTTCTTCCTCTTCTTCCCCTTTTTCCTACTTCTTCATCCCTTCATCCCTTTTCTTCTTCTTCCTCCTCCTCTTCCTTCTTCTTTCCTCTTTCTTCCCTTTTCTTTCTTTTCCTTCTTCTTCCCCTTCCCTTTTTCCTTATTCATCCCTAACCCTTCCATCATCTATGCAGCCACTCACAATGGCTTAGCATTATGTACCTTTCTGTTGGAGTGGCTGCATAGGACTATGCGAGCACTATATGCTCCTACTGTTTATTTGTGTGGCTGCATAGACTATGAAGCACTATATGCTCTCCTACTGTTTATTTTCTTCCACTTACGCCATTTTGTGCACATCTTCAACTCTTCAACGCTTTCACCAAATTCAACAATTTATTACATCGTTACGACGGCTTCACCCGTGCTCATTATTGCTATTACTTTTACACTTCCACCTTTAGCACTTTTTCAGCTATTAACAAAAGTTCAAGCATTTTTCCGCATAGACTTACATTGGACCAGTACAACAGATTATCCCATACAACCACATATACCACACTAACAATTTCATTACCACCGTTACAAACATTACAGCTCTTACAACACTTACCGCACCTTACAACACATTTAGCACTTTACAAACACATTCACACCTTACAACACTTACAGCACTTCACCACATTTAGCACTTATACACAAATTCAAACACATTTAGCATTTTACAACACATTCAACACCTTAAAACAAAATTCAATACCTTACAACCACATTTATCACTTTTACAAACACATTTAGCACTTTACAACAAAATTCAACACCTTAAAACACATTTATCACTTTTACAACAAATCAACACCTTTCAACACATTTAGCCACTTTAAACGTATTTAGCACTTTACAACACTTTCAGTCCCTTACAACACATTCTTCTTTAATTCTTCCTCTTCTTTCCCTTCTTCCCCTTCTTCCTCTTCTTCCTCATCTTCCTGTTCTTCCCCTTCTTCTTCTTCTTCCCCTTTCTTCCTCTTCTTCCTCTTCTTCCCCTTCTTCCTCATCTTCCTGTACTTCCACTTCTTCTCCTTCTTCCCCTTCTTCCTCTTCATCCTCTTCTTCCCCTTCTTCCTCTTCTTCTGTTTTCTTCTCTTCTTTCCCATTTTTCCTTTCTTCCCCTTCTTCTCTTCTACCCCTTCTTCGTCTTCTTCCTCTTCTTCCCCTTTTTCCTCTTCTGCTTCTTCTTCCTCTTCTTCCCCTTTTTCCTCTTATTCCCCTTCTTCCTCTTTTCCTCTTCTTCCTCTTCTTCCTCTTTTCCTCTTCTTCATTCTTCCTCCTTACTTCTTCTTCTCCTTCTTCCCCATCTTCTTCTTCCTTCTCCTCTTCCTTCTTCGTCTTTCCCTCATTTCATTCCCTTTTTTTATTCTCCTTCTTCTTCCTTCTTCATCCCTACCCTTACCAATTTTTTGTGTCCCTTTTCATCCTGTACCTGTACAATTGGTTTTCTATTAATTCACACGTCAGTGCAACAAACTGGGCTCGCTTTCGTCCCTATCTAGCTCCTTTCTACTCAGCAACACGCTGATCGGTAAGCTACTATTGCACACCTATCAATATATGTATAGAATAAAATAATACCATATTTGTGAACTGTGCCAATATTTTTCATTATTTTTTAATATCCTGTGTGTATCTGTTGTAGACCTGCACATTTTGTAGTGCAGCATTTGGGGAACCATCTTGAGAAGTTGATGCTTGGCTTGGTCAGGACCAGAGCTGGGGGATTTTGGCTTTTTGTACATGTCTTCAGTGGAAAGGGAAACTGGAGTACCGACAGAAAGCCTACGTCGGCATGGTGAGAACCCATGACCTTCCTTCTGGGAAGACAACCACTCAGCATTCTCGCCCGAATCACACAAATCTGATGCCTTCATTCGCGGGGGAAACTCCAGCTTGCCTTAGCAACCGTATTAGCAACACGTCCATTCCTGTTACGGCGCGAAGCTAACGCTGATAAAACAAATACCCGTATAAGGAAATTGACTATAGCCAGCTTACGTTCAAATTGGCTTCTTCCCCATTAAGGCCAACACTATGGTGACGTCAGCACTCAGTCGATCCACCCCTAATAAATGGTCTATGGATTTTACTTTAGAAATGGCCAAAACTTGTGCAGTACATTTGTTTTAAAAGACAGAAAACTGCTCTGAGTGTGATGTCATAGTATAATGACATCACACTATTCCAGGACTGAGACAGTAGGTTTTTGTTAGAAAAGTCGGAGTCACATGTTTGTGCCGGAAGTTCCTGATTTTAACGTGGAGGGATCTAGCTCTAATTCTAATTGGCTTTTCTTCGTCTGTCCCTGTTGCGTACATATGTGGTGCACTGAATGGGGAGAAGTGATGGTTTATTGTGGTCCCTGGCGCTGCAACTAGCAGCACCTTCTGGCTGGAGCAGGAAGCGTTCCAGACAGTTTAAAAGACTCGTTGCTCTCCACCTCTGTATTTTCCAATGGCGGAATCTGCTTACCTGAAACAAGGACACACATAGGTACAGTGAGCGTTGAAGAACATGTATTCAAGAACCAACAATATGCTTTATTTACTTGTTTGTATGGATCGTAATTGTGTAAATTCATGGCTAAGAATGTGACACAGGTGGCACTTAAAGGTATAGATTTATATTAGAATATTTGTTTTCTAATATTTCTCCAACTGGGTTTTTTGAGTGGTTCCTTGCTGAAGCTGGAGGGTCTAAGGACAGTGGTGATGATCCAAGAAATTTAAGAACCTTTATGGACATTTATTGTTATTTATAGACAATGATCATCCGCCCCCTAAAAACCGGATGATTTTTTGTTTTGTAAATTTTGTAAATTTTTGTTTTTATTGAATTTCCTGTGTTTGAACAGCATTGAACATGATTCTCTGATCTTTATAAAGACAACTGCTGTTGTGATTTAGGGATATACAAAAATAAATGCATTTGCATTTTGTTTTGTTATGTACTTAAAGCTAAGGTACCATTTAAACTAGTGAACAAAAGTGTTCAAATCAGTGGGGGCTCCATTCCACATGTGTGTCAATGCTGAGGGGAGTGAATTTTTTTGGACCACTCTAGTTTACTCGCTGTGAATTTTTGAAGTCTCTCGTTTAAATGAATGGAGCTCGTGCCGGCTGACACATGCGCAGATGCGTTTTTTCACATTTTCCAGCCCCCGCGGCCATTTTGAATCACTCCATGAGAGCCAATTTTTTGGCCCATTAGTTAGAACGGCGAAGACAGGCGTGACTACGTCCGGTAATATATACAGTCTTTGATTCAAATCCATCTAACAATGTAGTTCAAAATACTTTGGTTCCATCACTACTTTTCACATTTTTGGAGTTTTGAAAGTTAAGTACCCCAGCTTAAAATGCAAAAAGTTATAAGCAACTTTATTTGTTCTAATTTGTTCTTAACTAATAATTACAATGGTTAAAATTTTGGCTTTCTATCTGTTACGGACTATGACAGCCAATAGCTTTGGTCTTGATCTAGCCAATGTTCATAGACAATAAATACTAAATGCTAGGGGTGTAACGATACATCTATTTAATCGATGTATCGATGTGTCTCCCCTGCAATCCAGCTACATCGATCGGCGCTGAGCTATTTGACCTCGATCCTAGCCGCACATTGACACATCGTTTTAAATGTAAAAATGACGATTGTATCGATATATTTCTTACATTAAATAATAGTCACAACGTGCAATGGAATTATAAAGTCTTTGTTGTCTGAATGTTATTGCGCGTTCAGACCAGATCATGCGTTGCGTCGGCTTTCAATGCAAAGTCAATGGTGACACCCGTTCGAGCGTCAAAACGCACGAGCGTTTCGGAATGCACGCATGGACCGCGCTGGCAAGTTGAAGGGGAGGAACGCAGGAGATTAATTTTACTCAACCTTTCCTCGGAACGTTCGTGCAGCAACCAATCAGAGAGCCGCAAAGTGGTCACGGGGACATTAGCGGTCTGAGCGAGCACACTGAAAATACTCGTAAACAGCCAAAACAGGAGCTACATCAGGACTAAACCAGGGTTGACAATGGGGGATATAATGCTTGTTAACATGTGAGTTTTCATGCTCCCGTGACTTTATGCAACTGCTTCGAGTGTGTTCGCCGATGCGGAAGTACCGTTTAATAATAGAATAAACTTATTGCCCACCTCCGTGAACACATACTAATGTTTATATAAAGTCTCTGGAAGGTCTCTGAACACAGACACGCTGCAAAGCTGCATTATTGGAGAAGATCTTTACACAAGAAGCCGCTAGCTAAACTCTGTTAGCATCAGAGCCCGCCGGCTACTTCAAATTGAATTTGTTTTTCTCCCGTGTCATCAACAAGCCTTTGCAGCGGCGCTGTAAATTTACGTCACAAGCTCACAATAACAACAACATGGATAATGGTAGCAGCGGTAGCAGTGAGGCTTCTAAACCTCCAAATTTGCGTTCGTCAGTCAGGAGATACAGTCGGTGGGCAATCTTGACAAAACGATTGGCTCTGTAGAGCTTCTCTTTGCATCTGTACCAACGCTACGGCATCGCTGGCAAAGCAGAAGAGTCACCCATGGGAACAGCATCCAAAAACAGTAACTGCGGTGCAAGAGCAGAGACCAAAAAGGTGTTGCTGCTATTTTCAAAGTTCTATACGAGCTAAGGGATTCAATATGTAGCACTAGAATGTACTCATATTCATGTATCTCACTGCTCAACAAAAGTTTTGGACCACCTGTCATGACAACATAAAGAACTTTAAATGAACAGTATCGTTTTTATTTAATATTAAGAAAATAATTAATTGGAATAACAAAATAGTCCTTGTTAAGTCTGGACTTATTTCCATCAAATCCAGCTTCAGATTCATTCTTATTTAACCACTATAGAAATAAAAAATATATTATTTAATTTTAAACACTTAGGTGGTGCTGTAAAACATTACAGCACTGCATTGTTATACATTTGTTTTATTTATTTTTTTATTCATGTGAGTTATTTATAAGTTAGCTCTTGGGCAAAATGAATATTTTTGTTAAATTTGTAAAAAAGTTGTATTTCTAGTTCAGCACTTTACATCTGAGTTAGATTTCTAAGTTTGAATTACTGTAAAAAGTTTATTTACAGAAAAAAAACAATATTACTGTATCGATATAGCGTTCAAAATCTTCTGTATCGTATCAAATTGTATCGTTTTAAAAATAAAGATATCGTTTTTTATTGGAATCATTTGCTCTCATATTGATACGGATCGTATCTTTCTAAAAACGTATCGTTACACCCCTACTAAATGCGCTTATATGTCTCAGATCATCACTGTTCTTAAGACCCTTCTGCATCTGCAAAGGAACAAATCAAAAAGAAAACGGTGGGAAAAAGTGATAAACCTTGGGGAGGCCCATGTTGAGAGAGAGATCTGCTCCCACGGACGGACAGGCTGTAGATCCAGGTTTAGTTTCCGTTTCAATGTGGTAAATGTGAAAATCTGACGCCAATAAATAAATGATTTTTCCAAATTAAAGTTGCTGATTGAGTCCCTTGCAAACACTCATCAATGAAATGTTACACTCAAAACTCAACACCCGTATGCCTGGTAAATTCACTGAATTCAATATTCGGAAAGGTTGTAATAACGTGACAATAATATAATTTAAAAAGGACATGGCATTAAAACAGTAGAGCAGAACTTTGGACATAATAAAAATATGACATACTGATTTTCTGAAAGAGTGCTTCAATATTGACGCTGTTTCTCGCACTTGTCTCAATAAAGATTGCTGATATGGATTCTGCAAACTCTTTGGCCTCCTTCATGGGGACTTCCCTGCACAAACAAAGCACATATGTTAAACAACAGGCTGTGCCACTTCTATTCCTGTCCAAATCCATACTCCACACCTATCTACCAGTCTACATGGTCAGTAGTCTTCTCTATTGGTAAAAGCAAAGGAAGCTTTCTCAACCATCATCTGTACTTCTTAGCAGAAACCTTCCTTTGCTTTGACTAATGGAAATGGCCACCCAGGGGTACAATTGTGATATTTCTGACCAACATTGACGTTTTTTGATGTCCTGTATGCTTAAAAGGTCATTGAAAATAACTTCAAGAGAGTTCCATTTGGAAAAGCGTGTGAAGTGATTACCTTATGCACAATTTTGAGGGGACTTTCTTCATAAGCGAGAAAGGAGTAGCAGCCATTTATTTTTGTTCAAAAAAAAGTAGCTCTCTGTGGAAAAAGGGTTGGAAACGCATGATGTGACCGTTTGTGGTTGTACATCCACAAATAAATACTTTTTGCCCCAAATGAACCAGAATGGGCCTATTTAAAGTGAACCAGACCTAAGAGTGATAATCTACAATTTGTCTAAACAAACAACCGATCAGAGAATCAAACAGTTCGAAAAAAACAGGAAATAAAATTTCAGTATTTGCAATTTGCTAACTAGGATTTTGGTTCAATTGCAATTGTAGTGTCCTGTCCCTTGGCTTTAACAGGACGCTACTTGCTACAAGAAATTACCTCTGACGCGTTGTTGATGGTAAGAAAGTGTCTCCAGTCGTTTGTTCAGTTTAAAAGCGTTCACATTTTATTTCATGATTGGTTAAAACTGTCCATTGAATGCATGCATGTTAGCGTGAAAATCTTAAAAATCAGTGCCCAAAGAACAATCCCAAACAAACGATAAATGACTGTTGCTTCTTCCCGGTAGCATGCCCTGACAGGTCTCATCAGTGTAAACACCTGCCCTACTGTGGTTCTATACTCCCCTCTAATGGCAAACCCTAAGCTTACATTTTGTCTCCAACAGCAATTGATCGTGCAGCTCTTACCAGGTCCATGAAAGATGCTTAATAAATACAAATATTGGTTGATATTTATACAGTATAAGCAGGACTCCTATCTACTGGGAGGAAAGGGAAAGAGCCACTGTGCTTAAATGCAACACTGACCATTTATTTTGACGTTTCATGTTTTAGAATGTGAAACTGTTTTTCAAGTGACAAATGTATGGATTAACACTCAAATAAAATAAATAAAAAGAAACAGGACAAAATACAACCTGGTTAAAAGCTGAAAACCATGTAGGTATGCCCCTACAGGGCCCATCACTGTGACATGTACCAACAGCTGTCCTGGCTCTCTCTGTCCCAAAGACGTCACTCTCACTGGTTGTTTTTCATTTATAAATGTTATTTTTTGGATTACCCTCTTTATTTAAAGCAATATTTAACCCCTTTTAATTCCTCTTATAATCTTCGTCACACAAACCAGCTTTTCTGTCACACTCCTCGTGTGAAAAAAGAACTTGGCGAATATGCTTTCCAATATAAAGCTCATACGACTTATAGCATAAACCGGCCACCCGCTTTTAATGTGCGGACCTCTTTACCACTGACTCCGAAAAGCCGGGCCTCTTTACCGCGCTGTTCTACCCCTGCCTTCTCTCCCTCCACTGCCCTCTCTCCCTCCGCTGCCCTCTCTCCCTCTCTTCGCACCATCAGCCTGACCCTTGACTGTTCTCCCCCTTCAGGTTTTACTGTTGTGGATATTAACCACGTTTCATTTTAAAGCAGGTATTATGTGTTTGTAGCCTCCAAACACCTTTAGTTTTAGCAAACAGCAGCAGGACACGCTTTGTCGCTGCATGATGTGAGCTGCGTAACTTAATTTTGATTGACGCTGTCAATGACTGGGACAACGTAATTAACGTAATTAAAATATATTATTTTCTCCTAACACAATTTAACAAGTAACCCTTTTGAATCAAATCAAATGCAAAATAAATATTTAAGGGCTATTAATTTGCTCAATTTTTATATATTTTTTTTCATTTTTTTTGTTGTTGTTTGGAAATCATCTTGCAACCCCCCCAGGGGTTCCCGCGACCCCCCGGGGGGGTTCCCACTTTGGGAACCACTGCCTTAGCGGACTTCGCTTGTGGGACACAACGCGGAGGCCGTAGGAACATGTACTCCCAGCAGGCCAGCGAAGAGTGATTGGAGCTCCGCCCGAGCAAGGCCCTCACACAGTGAGAGGACTCAGGGCAGAAGAAAGCAATTGCGTGTTACAGGGCCGCTCCTCCCAAGGACACCCCCAAGTAACACAGACCGAAGGCCACCCGTAGTCCCAGGACGCCTCTCCCAAGAGCTCCTGACGTGGACTACCTGACTGACCAAAAGCACACACATACCGCACCTGCAGGACGCCTCTCCCAAGAGCTCCTGAACCAGGGCGGACAAGTCAACCGTAGACCCCCTAAAAAGAGGAACCTCACGGTTTCAACTCAATCCGCTGCACTAAGCACGGAATGGGCCACCGACCGGTCCGACACATCCAAAAAGTTAGACCGGACGAAAGAGGAGGACGAAGCCCAAGAAGCCGCACGGCACACGTCCTCGACCGACGCCCCCCTGAGGAGGGCCATAGAGGCCGCCACCCCACGCGTGGAGTGTGACCTGAAACCCACCGGGGGGGCCAGGCCCTGAGCCTGATACGCCCGCCGCACAGCCGTGGCGACCCAGTGCGCCAGCCGCTGAGACGACAGAGGGGCGCCCCTGTTCTTGGGGCCCAGACACACAAACAGCTGATCAACCAACCTGAAGGAAGATGTCATGGCCAGGTAACGCCTAAGCATTCTGACAGGACACAGAAGGTGCCGCCGCTCCTCCTCTGGGGAGGCATGCGGCGGCGGATGGAGAGCCCTAATCCTGATCACCCTCGACCTGAAGGCCGGGACTCGCCTCCGACACCGGTTCAAAAGGCGGGCCCGACAGACCCCTAAGGACCACCCTGAGGTCCCAAACCGGGGGCGTTCTCTGAAGCGGGGGCCTCCTCCTGCGGGCCCCCCGCAAAAAGCGTTTGACCAACTGATGAGAACGGGCCGTGAACCCCCCGAAACCGTTGTGACCCGAGGTAATGGCTGCCGCCAACACCGCCAGGGTGGCGACAGCCCTCCCTTTGTCAAACAGTTCCTGCAGGAATCCCAGGACTCCTTCCAAAGGGCAACGCCTGGGATCCCAGGAGCGAGAACCCCCCCCCCTGGACTAGAGCCCCTGGCTCGTCCGGGAGGGCCCAGGGCTCCATCACCGACCTCCCCTCCTGTTCGATCCTCAGCGGCAGGACCGGCAGGAGACGAATTGGTGGAAACGCATACAGCAGGCCCCCTGGCCAGGGGTAGTGAGCCAGGGCGTCCACCCCTAAGGGCGGTTCGTCTTTAAGGCGAACCAGGACGGGCACTGTGCGTTCTCTGCACTGGCGAAAAGGTCGACCACTGGACGGCCGAATCTCCGCCAGACCTCTGCAGCTATCCGTGGGGCCAGGCCCCACTCGTCCTGGAGAGGGCCCCCCCTGGACATCCTGTTGGCCCCCACGTTCCGGGCACCCGGGACGTGGCGCGCCCTCAGGGACAGGAGGGCGCCCACAGCAGCGTCACCGTCCCCATGCGACGGAGAGCGGGGGATCTGGTGCCCCCCTGCCTGTTCAGATAAGACACCACCGTGGGGTTGTCTGAGCGAACCATCACGTGTCTCCCCTGCAGCTGAGGAGCAAAGTGCAGCAGTACCCTGTGTACTGCCTCCATCTCCAGAAGGTTGAAGTGGCGGGCTGAGTCCGACCAGCAGCCTCCTACAGAGCTCTGACCGAGGACCCCGCCCCGACCCTCGAGTGACACGTCCGTGAACACCTCCACGTGAGACACGGCGCAGACCAGAGTCACTCCGTCCCGCAATAGACCCGGAGTGAGCCAGAACCTGATGTCCGACGCTGCAGTTTGGGGAACCCAGATCAGCCTCCCCACGTCCCGGGAGGGGTGAAGCCTGAGGTGTGAGAACAATCTCTGAAAGTTCCTCATGTGGAGGAGGCCTAGCCGCACCACAGCATGAGCCGCCGCCATCATCCCCAGCAGGGACTTGAGGGGCCGAGCGGGGACCCTGGGGCCCGCCAGCACCTCCCTGGCTAGACGGGTAATTTTCCTCCGTCTGTCCTCGGACAATGCAGCACGGAACGTCAGAGTCTAGCTGCAGGCCGAGATAGATCATGCGCTGAGCCGGTTGCAGCCTGCTCTTCTCCCTGTTCACCACAAAGCCCAGACGCTGTATGTGGGAAAGGACCCAGTGCGTGTGACTCACGGCCACTTCCCTGGACGAGGCCAGTATTAACCAATCGTCTATAGCTATCCTTACGCCCGCGCGTATGAGCGGCTCCAGTACCGCCTCCACGCACTTTGAGAAGGTCTGAGGCGCGAGCGCGTAACCGAAGGGGAGACGGCAGTACTCGTAACTCCTCTCTCCCACTGCGAAGCGCAGGAACTTCCTGTGTTCCGGAACTATCGCCACGTGAAAAATAAGCGTCTGTCAGGTCTATGGAGGACATCCAATCTCCCTGTCTGAGACACTCCAGGAGCTGTTTTGTGGACAGCATCCGAAACTGACGCTTGGAAATGCACTCGTTCAAAGTGCGCAAATCCAGAATGGGACGCACCTCTCCTGACTTCTTTGGCACTAAGAAGTAAGGGGAGTAGAGCCCCCTGGTGGCGTCCTGTGGGTCTACCTCTACTGCTGCGCCTCGACTTAGCAGAGAGGAGACCTCCGCTTGTAATGCCACTAACGATCCCCGTACCTGAGAGCGTGCTGCCCGCACGCCCCGAATGGCGGTTGCTTTCGGGAGAATTGCAGTGCGTAGCCCCTGCGCAAGGTTTTCTCTAGCCACGGATCCGACAGTAAGCCCTGCTCCCTCCAGATGCTGTAGAAGTCTGTGAGGGGCGGAACGGGAACTGGAACACGAGACGTCACAGCCCCGCCCTCTCCTGGTGTTCCTAGCAGGGAGGGGGGGTGGACGAAAGGGCAGAGGGGCCCCCTGCGTCATTCCGTGTGCGCCGGGGGCGGTCACGTGTCCTGCAGGAGTGGGAAACCCCGTGCTTAGCCTCGTAGCTTAGAGGGGCTAACACGTGTTCGGCCGAAGCACACACACCACTACTCACCAGATCCCTCCGCCTGACCTCTCTCTGGGAGGGCATAGCATGGATCAGAGGACCGGAGCTCGTAGCTCGCGTTGCGCACTGCACACCCTGCTCTGGGGGCTGCAGGCCTAGCGGAGCAACGTTATGGGCCCGGGAAGTAACACAATCAGACACATTAAACATGTTACGTACCCCCAAATGAGATTCAGACAACGAGTACTGATGAAATGCCGGTCGGCCTTTATTGAAAGAATCCTCTACCATAGGGAGGTCGGCGGTGGGTGCGCTGTTCCCGCGAGCCTCCCATGGGTCTGTCCGGACCCGGGGGTCTCGTCGAGGGGGGACGATGGATGGCGGAGCGAGGATAAGGGTCAGGGCGCCTCCTGGGCGAACGCTCTCTGCCTCTGTCCCGGCTCCGTGGCGGCTGGTGGGCCTCGCGCCTCGGAGCTAGGTGCGGGGCTAGCCTAGCCGAGTCTTTGGCTGCAGACTCCAGTCTTTCCACCAGGGCCTGCATATCAGGGCCGAAGAGGGACGTCTGGGAAACGGGCAGGTCCAGCAGCTGCCTCTTCTCCGCCTCCCTGATATTAGCCAGCCCAAGCCAAAGGTGCCTGGCCCCGACTTGGGCTGCAGCCATGGTGCGGCCACCATCCACGGCAAACGCCTTGCTCATGCGCAGGAGCGCCGCGGAGGTGGTCCTAGCTTCTGACAGGAGGTCTCCACTGAGCGCCTGGCCAGCGGAGAGCGACCTATCCAGGGCCCCTGTGATAAAGGCCATGTTGTTTGCCAATGCGACGACCTGAGCCGCATTGGCATAACACCTGTCCAGCATCGCCAAAGACATCCTGTCCCGCTCGGAGGGAAGGAGAGGTCTGGCGCCGGGCCACACGGATGCGGAGGGCAGCAGAGCCATGCGGACTGAATCCTCTATGTCCGGGACACCACCGGTCCAGGACCAGTCCTGCACGCTGCAGTACATGCCGTACCCCAGAGCAGGCCTCTTGGCTGCTAGGGGCTTTGGCCACTCACGTGTCGCGTAATGGAGGATCGGGTCCATCCGCGGGGTCCATCCGCTCCTCCTCCCTTGAGTGGTGGCGCCCACCGAGGTGAAGGCCTCCACCGTCTGGTCCGGCTGCGGTGGTAGAGGAGCATCCATGATGGCCGCTGTTGTAGAATTAAAATGTTGTATACTAATGATTCTAAGTAGGTGTTTGTATAACATGTCTTTGTGCAATATTAAGCCTGGATTTTGTGGAATTCGGACAAGCACCAAGGACAAGGCTTCTGTGATAAAAGTATCATTTTCAGGAACAGCGTGTCTCTCTTATTGAGACAAGGCCTGAGAGACAAAACTGGACTAGGCCAGACTGGGACCAGCCTCAGACCATATGACGTCATCGGAGATTCTGATAAAACTGTTGGGAGGACACATTGTAGGGAGTCGGAGCACAGGGATAGATTTAGGGAATAGCTCCAAGAATTCTGTATCAACATTTAATTGTAAAGAGAAATAAATGTTCTATTTTAACTCTTGAAATCTTGGCCTTATTTCTGTACCAAATTCTGAACACGTCAGTCAAATCATTTTTGACAACACCGCCGCGGACGAGTAGAGACCGGGCATGTGGTCCAGCGGAAAGCGGTCCGGCTCCGGGTTCGACACCACCTCGTCCAGAGTGAGAAGAGAGCCGTCCTCCGAAGCCTCTCCAACCTCTCAGTCACCCCATTCCGCGGGCACGGGAGGAAGGTCGAGTGGGGCCCAGTCAATCTCAGACTCCTCGTCCTGAGAGGAGTCCGGACGGGGCGCTGTAGCGGCGAAGAACGCGCGCCTGCGTTCACTCTCCTCCCTGGGGAGAGCGAGACACGAGGCGCAGCTAGCTCAACGCCGCATGGCCCGAACCCAGGCACATGAAGCAGCTGGCATGCTGGTCCGTGCGCTGGAGCCTGACCCGACAAGTCGAGCAGCGACGACGTCCGATGCCGGAGGGCGAAGGGGAACTCGGACGAACAATGGAAAACATCTCAGAAGTGAAGTAAGTGCCATAGTAGATCTCAATCAGCGCCAGAGTGAAAGAGGGGGCGCGGCTATGGAGCAGGGGCTTTTATAGAGGAGGGTCGCTAGTGATTGGAGCATTTTTTATTTGATCTCTCTGGCGTCTGTGACCTGGGGGTCACGTGATATCCCACTAGCAAAGTCCGCTAAGGGACGTAGCACCATGACGTACAACTGTTTTATTTGACAACCGCTGCTGCTACTTGTGTTGCTATTTTTGAGGACCCTCCTGAAATCGAGATGATGCATCTCAAGAGGCTATTCCTTGTAATAAAGATTTGTCAAAAGTGTGCTTCACCTGATGTCTCCAAGGTCGTTCTTGTTCCCAGCGATGGCCACCACAATGTCCTCCGGCCCGTGCTCTTTCAGCTCTTTCACCCACTTCTTTAGCGTCTGAAAGGAGTCCTACAACAACATGGACACATATATAACATACATACTAAGCATCAGTATTCATTATGCAAGCAATTATTTGTATATCGATCCTGCCCACAGTTTATGCAATTCAATTCACTATATTCTTGTATAGCCCTAAATCACAACAGTAGTCATCTCAGGGCACAGTCACATAGGTTTATACAAACGAACTAGGCCAAGTGGCCCGGATCGTCGCCCCAGGGGTGTGAAAACGGCCCGCGGTCACATGAACATGTATTCGCAAACGTGCCAGAGCAACTGTGCTGAAGTACAACGCTCGGTCCAGCTGGTGGAGCTAATACTAACTCCAGCAACGACCTCGTTGTCCTGGTTGAGTTTCCGTTTCTCTTCCTGTTTACATTCTGCTACTGTAGCTAACAAGTCGAGTACGGATTAGGGGAAAGACACATCTCACACTTATCCACATTGCTCTGATGCAAAGTGCAGCAGTTCAGTGGGTAACGTGTGTGCACACGTGTGTGTGTGTGTGTGTGTGTGCGCGCCACGGAGACGACAGCACACAGCTGAGAAATGAATGAATGAGAATGAAAAAATGAAAAGTGTGGCGTACGAGCAGAGCGACCGCAGACAGGCAGGATACAAATGTGTGTGTGTGTGTGTGTGTGTGCTGGTGTGTTCTGACGATTAAATAAGGACTGATTCTTGAATGTCTTAAGTATTGTTGCAATAGAACCACACTGAGAGCGAGGGTCAGAACAGAAGGAGTTATTCCCGTAGGAAACGCTTTTCTTTGGCGCTGCAGTGACACAACCCCCAGTGCCCCTCAACCACGCTTCAAGGCTTATATGAAAGGTTTAACACAAGTGGAGAATACTAAAGTGCAGGGAGAGACGTGTGTGAAAATGCCCGTCACAAAGGAAGACGTAATGTGACGCACAATATCAAGTCCCTACCACACCTTATCCCCCACTCCCCGCCACACTGACCCCCCTCATCTGGGCTTTACAAAGCGGGCCCTGGCCCAAGTCTTCAAGCGTGCCTGAGCACGATTGCAGCAATCACGCTCAAGCCCACTTGCCGCAGCCACATAGCACCTAAAGCCCAGATCTAATTTCGAAGTGGGCCCTGGCCCACTTTAACCAGGCTTTAGGCTGTGCATGTGATCGCGGCCTCAGGGGACTTAACAGCCGTTGAAATTGCCAACACAGATCAGAGAATCAACACAAAAAATATTGAACACATCGGTATTGGTCCATAGGGAGAGACCAATGTCCATGAATGTTGAAAACAGTCTAACAGACCCTCCTGCATCTGCAAGGAAAAACAATAAAAAACCCAGTGGGACAAAAGTGAAAAACCTCGGGGAGGCACAGGCAAGCGGGGGGAGCGCATTGCGCTTCTTTTTTGTCCCATTTTGTAAATATTTTCGGAGACATAGCTACATGAGGTTAATCCACAGTAGAGGGAAGAGCCTTTCTCAACTTTCTCCGTGTTTTTGTGACTGGATTGGACACTATTGCCGCTTTTCCACAGTCCTAGTACGGTACGTTTTGACTCTACACGGCGCGCCATGGCCCAGTTCGCATGCTTTTCCATCAAAAATAGTACCCCCAGTATGTCCTCATCGTTGTCAGACCACGTCATTTACGTGTGACGCGTAACTAGTACTGGTGCGGTGCATGGATTTATTATAATATCAGAGCAAGTGTTTAATAGAAAATTCAGCAAAGCACGAGTAGTTTTTGAAAATGCTTGTCTTAAAAGAATGACTCGGAAACTGTGAAGTCAATGGTGCTGACTGCTCTGTACAATCTGAATGGGAACTGTAGCAACAGCAGTGTGCAGAGGAGGAGGGCTGCATGTCCGAGGATACTGCTAGGCTATAGCTAATGCTAGCGCTAGCTCGAGACTCGGCTCACTCACTAACCCTGGATTCCAAAGCTACTACTGTACTACACTTAACATATCTATCACTGCCATCAGAGGAGGATCCAGGGTTTAAACTCGTCATATGGCAACTCGAGCAGTAAAGGACCGAGGGAGAGACAGCGGCAGCCATAGGGGTAGCGAGTTAGCGGCTAGGCTAGGCTAAGCTAGGCTAGGCTAGTCCGGACTCGGGTCCGAGACTCCGAGACCAGACAAACAATCGATACCCAAACCTCAGCTACAATAATAATAAATGAAAACACAGTCTTGATACAATCACAGATTTATTAAAAACAAAAGTAAAGTGCAAAACCAACAGTTTACAAAGTCAAAAGTACGTATGTCAGAGACCAAGTCCAGACCAGGTCCAGATGAGGAGAATACTCCGGTCACTCATTACTCATTGGTAATCGCCACACTTATGGAAAGGGATTCTCATACAAATATACACACGACAACTTAAATACAAGCACAAAACAGAATGACAACACGTGAATACTGCAGATAATACGAGATAAAGCACAGTAGCACAGGGAGGACGTTAGCTTAGCTTGCTATCGATAGCTAAATGAAGCTAATTGTAGCTAGCTCACTGTGTACAACAGACAATCGAGCATTTACACAGTAAATACATTTCAGTGAGAGCTTTAACGGGATTCGTAGCTAACCAGTTATTTCCAGGATTACCACAGACTAGTCACAAATCCAGAGCTGGGTGATCTCCCTGAAAACTGTGTTGAGCCTCGAGCTGCCTTTGAATTCTTTCTTTTGACCTGAAGAGAGGAACATGTGGACCTCGTCCACCGACCAGGACCAGGACCATTCCATTTCTCTGGAGTGAGGAGGACGTAATGTAGCCGAAACAGAGCCGAGCAGAGCAGCCGGTTTTAAAGATGGCGGTTGAGTTGTTTTTCCCAAAGGGTCAGATGTCGCTTCCAGTGACGACACTCGTTGACCAACCATTGTAAGGCAGTGGGCCGACGTGACGTCATGGCACGGGTACTGTACTGTACCGTACTGATACTGTGGAAAAGCGGCATATGTGTCTGTGCCCTAGTGAGCCTGAGTGACCCGTGCGCCCATTGTCTCGTACTCCAGGGAGACACTACTAGAGCTGCGTGGCCACGTAGTGCTCCCGGAGGACAGACGCAATATCCCGGACGAGCTGCTGCTCAAGACGCGAAAGTACGAGGGAGAAAGTGAGGATCCAGACCCGCACTGCCCTCCGTTACCACCGGGAACGTGCGCTCGTTGACCAACAAGGCAGACAGCCTGGCCAGCCTGACGCGTTATCAGGGGGAATATAGGAACTGCAGCGTCCAGATCTACACGGAGACACGGTTGACTTCTGACAATCCAGACTCTACTGTGGATATGGATGGATGTCATATGATCTGGGCTGACCGGACAGCTGAGAGTGGGAAGAGGAGAGGCGGGGTCTGGCTGTGTTTGTAAATACGGACTATTGCAAGCCAGCGCACTGCACGGTGAAGAGGCAGGTTTGTTGCAGAGACATTGAGGTTTTGGTTATTGGCATGCATCCATACTATCTGCCAAGGGAGTATAGTCACGTTATTGTAACAGCTGTCTCTTTTCTCCCTTCGGCCAAAGCTGATAATGCATGCGAGAGCCTCTTTTCCATCATGAGCAGTCATCAAACACAGCACCCCCAGGCCCTGTTTATCATCACTTTTTTTATACACATACCAATGCGTGTGACGATCGGCGCTCCTATTGGACAGCAAGAGCTCACGGAGAATATGTGGAAATGGAGGAAAATTTTGAGCTCGTACGTGCTGCATGTTTTCTCTGCCTATGTTTGCTCTTTTTAGAGCAAAACCACCTTCAACAGCAACTCATTCGACACAGTTGCTGACAAATTTTGGAACAGCGTTGGCGAATGCGTGAGGAGAAAGCCAAAGGAGACTCTGTGCTCTGTCCATGGATCTATAATAATAATGGCCCTGTTCCACAACATACTGACAGCAGCATTGTGGATAAACAGACGACGGAGGATCAGGTATGAACCAAAGAACACAATTCACTACATGATACAGGATATTGCTTTTTGAGATGCAAGTCAAACACGTGAGGCTTTTAATAATGCAAATGATTTGAAGATGCTGCCATTAATTAACATCACTGTATAATGTTAAACAGCCACTAAAGGGCGACAGTGGCTCAGTTGGTAGAGCATTGGCCTTTGGGCCTGAACGTCGTGGGTTCAAGCCCACCATAAGACCTACTTCACGACTCCCACTGATGACTGCTGTCGTTGTGTCCTTGGGCAAGACACTTAACCCCACTTTGCCTGAAGCTCCCACTGAAAGATCTCAGCTCCTGTGGACTCACCACCTGCAGGAGGATCAGTGAGGGGCTGGTGCTAAGTGTACTGGGTGCAGCTCTGACTGCCACCCCCCCGACCCAGAAATGGATTAAGGGGAAGAAAATGGATGGATGGATGGATGGATGGGTATAATGTTAAACAGTTTTAACTCCATAAGCCTGTTGCACAGTGTCTCCTCGTTGCTCCAGGTCAGACCGGGTCATGTGAAATCCATCCATGTCCACATTAGAGTCCGGATTGTGAGAGGTCAGCCATGTCTCTGTGTATATCTGGAGGCTGCAGTGTTTATTTTCCCTCTGATAACGCGTCAGGCTGGCCAGCTCGTCTGCCTTGTTGGTCAACGAGCGCACGTTCCCGGTGGTAACGTGCGCACCACAGTCCTCCTCCCACGGCCCCCCCCAGCCCTCCCAGAGACACTTACCCCCCTACCACTGAGCCCCCCTCCTCTCTACCCAGCAACCATCCCCCCTGCACCTTCCTGTCATTCACTTCTGCTCAGGTGAGGTCAGAGATGAGGAGGATAAAGACCAGGAAGGCACCAGGACCAGACAACATCAGCTCCAGGCTCCTTCGCTCCTGCGTAGATGAACTCTGTGGAGTACGTCTTCAACCTGAGCCTGAGCCAGGCTGAGGTCAGCACCACAACTCTGGAAGACCTCCTATGTGGTACCAGCGCCCAAGACACCACGGGCCAAAGACATCAGCGACTTCAGGTCAGTGGCTTTGACATCCCACTGCATGAAGACATTGGAGAGATTGGTCCTGGGGCATCTCCGCTCCACTCTGAGCCCAGCGATGGAGCCGCTACAGTTTGTCTATCGGCCGGGCATCGGAGTTGAGGACGCCATCATCACCCTCCTCCATCGCTCGCTGTCCCACCTAGAGAAACCCGGCTCCGCTGTGAGGATCCTCTTCTTTGATTTCTCCAGCCGCAGCTTCTCAGGGACAAGCTGGAGACAGCTGGAGTGGACTACGACTATGTCTGAGTGGATCCTGGACTACCTCACAGACAGACCCCAGTTTGTGACAACCAGGGACTTAGTGTCTGAGGTCCTGACCTGCAGTGTGGGGGCTAGGGTTGGGCGATATGGGCCTCAGCATGTATCACGATTTTTGTTGGTATGTATCACGATATGACGATATGATAATTTGAACAAAGCCTCATATAAAAGCTATAAAAACTTAGCACTGATAATTTTAAACACACTTGCCTCAAAGTGCATTTACTGATTTATTGGCAGCAAAATGTGTAATACAGCTATTGTATATAAAACGTATTAACAAAACTGAATTGTAGAGAATTCTGTTTTGTACATACTGAAAATTGCAGGCAACATGTAATAAAGGTGAAGTTTGTCCTTTGTAATATAAAAAGTGTAGCATTATCAAATAATTATTTGATCACTTTGGCTTATGTTTCCTAATCCCAATATAGTCAAAATGATCAAATACTGTATATATTTTTTGTATCCTTTTGCGTTTCTATAATTATGTAATTATAACTTATTTGTAATTATATTGCAATGTAGACAAACACATGCATTGAAGTAAAATGAATGACAGTAAACAGTAAATAAAGCTTACCAATGGCCCTATGAGAGAGAGAGAGAGAGAGAGAGCGAGTGTCCGAAGCAAGCCACTCGAGTCCAGTTGTTGCAGCTGCTTTCACAACATTAGATCCACTGTCGATAGTTACACACAATTGCTTCTTTTTATCTAGTTCCCAAACTACTCCCATATGTTTGAGGTAGCTCCGCGTTTTGGCACAATGTCTTCTACAATCTGCATGTCTTCACCATGGTCTTCACCGCCGCCCTCAGCCATGTTTGCTCTCTGCTCTGTTGTTGTTGTCCCTGCACGCCGCTCTGCTACACGTGCCGCGCAGATGCGTCATCAAAGTGCGCCGCACACAAACGTGTCTTCCGCTCGCTGTTTTCAGTGTTAAATGATCGTTTTCACCGGTATAAGGCATTTTCTTATCATTTAATTTACTTATACCGGTATACCGGTATACCGGTACAAAAAAAATATCGCCCAACCCTAGTGGGGGCCCCCCAGGGGACTGTCCTCATGCCATTCCTCTTCACCCTCTACACTGCAGACTTCAGATACAACACGGACAGTTGTGTCCTACAGAAGTTCTCAGATGACTCTGCCATCAACGGACTCAGCTCCGAGGACGATGACGCAGAGTACAGAGGAGTAATTCAAGACTTTGTGGACTGGTGTCAGCGGAACCACCTCCTCATCAACGCGGGGAAGACCAAGGAGATGGTGGTGGATTTCCCCAGACGTCACTCTGCCGCTCCAGACCCAGTGAACATCCAGGAAAGGGACATTGAGAGAGTGAACTCCTACAAGTACCTGGGTGTTCATCTGAACCACAAACTGAAATGGACTCGTAACACAGACGCCCTCTTCAAGAAGGGCCAGAGCCGACTATCTCCTGAGGAGGCTCAGGTCTTTTGGAGTGCAGGGGCCACTCCTAAAGACCTTCTATGACTCTGTGGTGGCATCAGCCATCTTATACAGTGTGGTCTGCTGGAGCAGCAGCATCACAGAGAGGGACAGGAAGAAGCTGGACAAGGTCCGCAGGTGGACAGATGACATCGGGTGGACAGCCCAGCTCTGTCCTGGGCTGTTCCCTGGACACAGTGCGGCAGATGGGGGACAGGAGGGTCCTGGACAAACTACCATCTATATATATATATTTTGAATGGTATTGAAGCATTTACAGCATCTACAGCTAGTTAAGCTAATTAAGAAACATAGGTACTACTTGTTTTGTATTTTGTATATTTTGTGTGCTCCCTGTGTGCTCTTACTACTGTCCTGTATGTAAGTAAGTAAGTAAGGAATCTTTATTTATTTACCGCCTTTCACAGACCAGAGTCACAAAGCGGTTCACAATTGTTATTTTTTGGGCATTTGTCCTCTCACCACATAGAGATGGGAGTGGGGTCGCCAGTACAGGAGGCACATGCCAAACCTATTGTACATGTTTTTAGTGGTAGGGGAAACCAGAGTACCCGGAGCGCTATCCCCGCAGGTGTAGATGGAGGGGGCCGGGTTCAGAGGACCCTCCATGAAACAGACAGTGGGACAACGAGCCATGGCTGACGCGGCAGCCGGTCATAACACATTTGCAAACGTCACTGCTGCACAACGCATTCTGACCGCGCATCCTCAAAAGAAAGAACATAAAGCGCCCACAGGCACATGCATGATCAAAGTCGACAGTAGTAAACGAGGTTTGAGCAATTCTGACAATGTGATATTCATAATATGAGAAACACCAGAACATACTGGTGTAAATGTTGAACTGTAAATGTTGTAGAATAAGTAAATGTTGAAACTGATGATTTAGACCTATAAGTAATTTCTTTCCTGCCAACAAAACATGAATAAAGAGAACATGGTCATCATTTCATCATGAATCACACATGCATCATGAATGAAATCCAATGTGATATTTTGAATTGTAACACCCTCATAAATTCAAGGCCTAAAAACTAGATCTTGGTTTGGTTTAACAACAATTAATATTCAATAAACTGCATCAATAGTGCTTCAGAACTGTATTGTATCGTTGAACAATTGTTGTTTATCGGGTTTACATTCTAAAAATAATCCACAACAAGTAGCAGCTCAATGTTTCTAGGCTAGTGAAACCCCTCACCCCACACTTTTCTAACCGGTCGTCCCCGGAATTTATCACAGTGAACACAAGACGCAAAAGTTATCGTCTAACTTTAAATAAAGGTAACTTTATGTTATACTAGCGTTTTTTTTTTACTGTTGTATATGATATTGTTGGAGCATACACGTTGTGCATGATAAGCACACAATAAAAAAAGCACACACTAAAGTCCAAGAAACAGCGAGGCCACAAAAGGTGAACCTGGTACTCAGTACCCTGTGAGATACAAATTGTGTCCGGCAGGCACTGAAGACACCCAGCTAAAATCAATAAGGAGTGATGCACTTGTTATGTAGTATAATATTATTCCTTACCAGTTTGGTGATGTCATAGACTATCACAGCAGCAGCAGATCCACGGTAATACATGGGAGCTAAAGAGTGAAACTGGAAAACACAAAAACATAGTGATGAGGCTGGTTATTTTTTATTCTAAAAACAAATGTGCGTGTTTGCATTTTCATTTAATGTAAAAATTATTTTTTATAATAATATCTTAAAATAAAAAAAAATCAGACATTATCCCAAATCAAGTGATTTGTTTTTCAATCTTTAATTTGTTTTTTGTTTATAACAAACTTAGATAATTGAAGTCTTTGTGATTTGGAAGACTAGATTAGAAGTACACTGACCATCAAGCACAAGTTGGAGTTTCCCCTACAAATGAAGGCATCTGATTGTCATGTCATGTCATTTTCTTCCCCTTTATAAGTCCATTTCTGGTTGGGGGGGCATTATCAGAGCTGCCATCCAAGTCTCAAAGCACCAGTCCACAGGATGGCTTCTCCATAGCCTTGATCTTTCAGCGGGGGGGCTTCAGGTAAAACTGGGTTAAGTGTCTTGCCCAGGGACACAACGACAGCAGACATCAGTGGGAGCATCTGATTGTTCAATTCTTATTTGGCTCATATTTGAATTTTCCACACAAAAAAACACTAATATCATAGAGATGTTATAAGCCCAAAATAGGGATTGTAGAAACGCTATAGGAGTTTACTTTTTAACGTATGTCAAAACTTCGTCCACAAGCACTTTCTTATAGGAGGATCTTTGTTTACACCCGCGTGCGCATGCTCGCTGTGTGGCAAGAAGACAGAGCGGCGCATACTAAAGCATGGATTCGAGAGTTCTTTTAAAAGACTCAGTGGGCGAAAAGCACTGTATACAAGCACTTTAACTCAAGAAGATCAGAGGAGAAATAAAGATAAGCTAAAAATACAGTAGTATAAAGTATATGAGACCGAACTGAACAAATTCAAAGCCCATATGAGACCTGGGATGACGAGAAAAAACATTGGTCAGACTCACCATGCTTGGCCTGCTGGGACTGCTGCTGGGACTGGGACTCGGAGACATGTATTCTTACTTAATAGAAAACCCAGGACCCTTCACACAAGAAGGGTCCGTGGTGTAAGCATCCAGGTAGCTTTCTATGCTATAGTGCCACATGGCCACGTGACCAGCGCGGAAAAACTATAAAACAACGACGTCACTCCAAGATCCTCCTATTGAGCTAGGGGGGGAATTCTCCCTCTATATACAGTCAATGGTCAAGCTATTTGGTGATTTTCTTGTTTGTGCAAATTCCCACTTGAAAGGGGAACCCTCCACATATGAGTTTCAACTGGATTTCACTCAATAAGCAGACATGGATCTTGGGTTTCATTCCATTTATTGGGTTAAGCTTGGGTTTAAGGGAAAAACCTCAAAAAGAGAACATAAACATACAATCATTTTCTACGTAAATAAACTTTCTTTTAATAGCTACTTTTACTTTTTTTCTTCTAGTAAATAAAAGTAGTATTTTTATTGTTCCTGGAGTTATGTTTTGGATACATCCTAAACACAGTACGACGTTTTTAAACAATCAAAACAAAATAACTGTTAAAGAGTCCGCGTTTCCGCTACTTCAGAGGGCTCTTGAACGCATCATATAACTCCACTTAAGTTCTGACATTTGTAAGGTGAAGAAAGAGGGCAGGCACCAGTCGAGCGTGAAATAGCAGCCCTTCTCGTAAACATGCCCCTCCCGGGCTCCGGGGACTTCAAAGAAACTACGGGTTCAATGAAAGGCTAAACATCTGCCAGGACACTGCAAGAAAACAGACAGAGGGGCAATAAAGCAGCAGAACAAACATCGGTGCGCCCTTCTGCCTGACAGAGAACAGGCATCATTCACCCACTATCGCTCAGAACACATTCCACAAACCTGAGACTCACCCGCGGCGTTCTGGCGCCCCCCAGTGGACACTGAACACTATCACACCCGGCACGGACAGTGTGTAGACCAGCTCCTGACTCAGTATTACCCCCATACGTCTGTACCGTGCCCTACATGTGTGTATCATTGTCGAGTAATGAAATGCGGTGTGTGTTTGTACAATTTGTTATGGTTGTCTGTATTAATCCTGTGTGTTTCCCTTGTAAACTGCCTGTTGTGAGAGGGTTGTCGCACATGGATGACGTCAAGGACGCGCCCCCTCCAGAAGTCAATATAAACACACACAATGCAACAGAACTTCCTCTTGTCCTTCCCTGAAATCACCATTGCAGCTTCCCTGCCCTCCGTGTCTCGCGGTACGCGTCTTCTACTGCGGCCGCGCCTGCACGCATCGGGCCTTCTACTCCGCAACACAGCCCTCCTTCCTGGCTCGGGACCTTACGAACTGTTACACCATCAGCCTCTTTTCCTGGCTCTACTACCCCTACGCACGCAACCCATTCCGGACTGAGTTGTATATGCGTGGATCAAAGTTGGACTGTATCGCTGGCTTCGTATCTCCCGCCTGCCTGGACAAAGAAACCACGTGGGCTCTTCCCATCCCAAATCCTTTCTTCATCCTCTACAAGGATACCGCATTATGTTTCTTTTCTTGTGTTAGGAGTTCGGGTGTCTGTCCTCCACTGGCTGTAAGGAGATGGGTTTGAACAAAGGCAGCACCGGTTGAAATGGTAGAGACTACTGACAATAGCCTCTACTTCCGGACACGGCGTCCTGTAAAATCTTTTGAGTTGTTTGACAGCATTTATTCACAGACTCTAAAACCTCAATATCTTGCCAAGTGGGCACAAGATGGAACGGCTTTTCCTTTGTCGGACCCCAGGACACGAACAAGGCCTTATCCTGTGCGAAAATCTCTCTATCATTTTTTGACGGTGAACCCCACTTGTTGGGACTCTGGTTACCACTATGATTGGGTAGACCAAGCTCAGCCTGTACTTCCACCACCATCTCTCGTCATTTCATCCACTATTAGGAAAGGCAGCAACCAGCCTTGTTACAAAACCTACCTAAGCACGCTCGATTCGTGGGTACCCTTCACACCAATTCTCTAAAATAATAAAAAAAGAAAGATAACACAAAGACATGTTTTTTAGTTAACTAATTGGGATCAGTGACAAACACGTTTTTCCACGTTATTAATGCCACTACAGGCGTACCCACACACAGCACACAACCATTAATGATGATCATCGCATGTACATTTTTAGGGTTTTCTTATATTTGCATTAAACCTGCATAGACACCAACTAATCTTAACACTTGTTTTTCCAGTATAAGCATGGTACAGGAGAGTAAATTAGCCACTTCACACTGGAACAGTAATGAGTCATCAAATATACTGATATTTACTGAAAGGTAGATAAATATAGATATAAATATTTTGTATACATCAAGACTGGAAAAACAGGAAAAGAAAATTATGGCATGAATAACTTAAAGAAATTGTATAATATGCAGCTATGGAAAATGTCGTTTAATACAAAATCATAACTGGTCACATGTCTATATTGAGTCAAATGTTGATAATTCATGCAGCAGGTTAATTTAAAAATGCATTAATTGAGCGCTTTCAACATGTGGTGTGTAAAAAAAAAAAAATCACTTGACTGCCAAAAGTCCATCAGACTCTTACCTAAAGCATTGTGCTGCTTATGATCCAAACATTGGAGGTTGGGCCACTCTATTGACGTCTCAGACTAATTTATCATGTTAGTGCCTGCTGTCTGTTGTCATACAGGCGAGTCGTTTTTCATCAAGGTTTCCAGGAAGCTCAGTGCATCTTTTAGCCCGTGCGGAATTGCTTCACCTTATGGTCCCTCGGGAAAGTTAGGCTGTTTGAAGGCAGATGCCTTCGCAAATCCAGTTGTCAATAAAATGCACCGTCACACTCATATAGGTCTGCATTGTTCGACCTGACCAAATCCTTGTGGCGGAGTAAAAAACGACACCCCCCTCCAGCTCTCTATAATCTTTTCCACGAGTACTGTTGTACATGCGAGGCCACGGCAACTTTCGGCAAAATCATTGCGGCGTGGTAGCACGTATCTGGGGTCGACAACTTTTAGCATGCTGATAAACCACGGCCTGGCTGCTGTCAAGGCCAGTTTTATTTTGGCAGAAGAGATCGAGCGAATTCCGGCCCGTCCATTTACCAGGGGATTTCATCAAAAACTGCAGATTAAAGTTTGGTGACGAAGTTGCCCAAAAAAAGGCAACTCTTTTGTAAATGGGAGTCTGAGCAGAAACACATTGCCGAGAGAGTAGACCAGATTGTCCCATCAATCTATAAAGAGCAGCTTGTAAAAAGGGAAAAGATTTCATTGCATATTCCTTGGCTGGGATGAGAGCACCGACAATTCTGACAGTTGCCCATTGTCAATTTCATCACGGGAGTGGACTCCAGCCTAAGCGTACATAGAGTTCGACGCAGAATCATGTGAAATCATCCCACAACGAGCGGACATCACCTCTTACCTACAGCGCTCAACGATAGTCAGAAGGAAATTCAATCAGAACCAAGACTGGTACACAATCTAGGCGTGTTTCGCGCAGCATCTTGGCTTACTATTAATTATTAATTTTGGACACTGACGCTAGGTTGTCGTATATATATTGTTGTTGTTTTAATTTGGCTCTGTTGCGTGTGCTTGTCTTGTGATTTTTACTGGGTCTAGCAGGTCTTGCATAAAATAGTCATCATGTTACTTTATATATATTTGTTTTTATATATAATTATCAAAACAATAAATATATTTATCATAACTTTTTATTTTCGGACAAGGCCTGACTATGTACTTTACTGGAGGAAATTAAATAAAGTTGTACGTTTTACCGTTCGCGAGGTAAATTGGATCATTTGTTAAATCACTGTGCGCATGGTTTCGGTCGACGATACATGTGTGTTCATAGGGTTAATACATGTTTAATATTATGTCCATTTTAAGAGACACCATGTTTCGAAATGCAGTTTGAACTGAAAACCATGTGGTTAGTGGGTAGGGTTGTCTAACTTGAGAACAGAAAAATAATGCGCAGGCTAATGCAGCAGGCTATTATGCTGCAAGGCTAATGCCGGTTGTTTTTG